TGAAGCCAGCCTGCATCAAGAGATGTTATGAAATCTGAATAAAACACGCTGTATTCGTTCTTCTTGAAACTGAAGATGTCAGCTCCTCTTTTTTGGCAATACCACATCTAAGGACAGTGTAAACCAATTTCCCATGGGAGCAAAAATTGGTGGTGCAAAAGCTAATTGCATTGTTTGGTTTCTTACAAAACGTGATGGTCTCCTGTAGCTTTGATGTAGGAAGATTCAGCGTTTGTGCCTCCGCTGATGTAGGTGTCGCATATAGCTTCCTGTCCTTGCCACCTCATCTCTTCTTGGGTGTATTTTGGGCTGCTCACTGTTGCACCAGGTTTATTCATAGTCTCTGATAGCATCAGCACATATTCTCTGCTACAGCAGATGGTTTCCGCTTTCAGCGCCTTCCATTGTGGGGCGGAGGCCGCAAAATTGAAGATTTCCCTTGAGCATATCCTCTGATTGGCATCTCTCTCTGCCATTCGCCATTTCACAACTGGTCCTGGAAATGGCTTTGGACTGCTTGTATGACCTGTACACCTGATGCCTGGACTAGTATGGCTTGCTGGAGCCACAATGAATGTCTGACGAGGTATTAGAGCTGTTACTCATGCCACAAAAAAAGGTGGTAGCAAGACAGCACATCTTGAATCAGCCAGGATGCTTCATCTTGCAATGGAAATTTGCTGAAAGGTGTAGATCCCTAGTGTTAATCCACTTCAAAAAAAGGTCTCTGCAAGAGGGGTGGTCCTGCACTTAGTTACTGTTCCCTTGCTAGTATTTGGTCTAGCTCTAGCTTTTCTGGGTTAGTCGCCCGCTCCACTGCTCAGCCACGAGAGCGCAGAGCAGCAGTGGGATGCGTGAGGATGGGATGATGCCTTTTGGAGGCAGCCTGCAGGAGCATTGGATTTTTAGCAGCTTGGGAAACCCGAGGCCCGGGTCCTGTGGCTGTATGGGAACGTGGTGGTAGTGAAATCTGAGTTTCGGGCTTTGGTGTCCGACGTTGCTCTTGTTCCAGCCACAGTGCTTTAATTTCCGAAACGCTATGCTAGGTTTTCGCTAGGCTCAGCTTGATTTTTTTCCAAGACATTACACTGCTGAAATAGCAGAATTTGCCTGTGGATTCTAGTACAGTGATCAGTGCGTGTTCATTGGGTTGATAAACTTTTCACCAGAGTAAGGGTGGAGCAGGGCCTTTTATAGCTGGTCGAGCCAAATCGCTCGGCAGCATGATTGAAGCAGTTAGGCAAAACGCAGATGACTTCTGCTTGCAGTAACCCCAACTATAATAGGCTCCTTTTTCTCCAAAGGAGAACCTGCACATGTCACGCATTGCCTTTCTTGCCTTAATGTGTTGGTCTTGTGTTTAAAACCGTGGAGAAATTCCTTGTTTAGATGTTATTCCACTCATTAATCACATTAAACTGCTCACGGTTTGTGTTTAAAGCATTGAGTTGTACCTTTACACCCTCGAGACGGGACTCTGCTCTGCCCATGGCTTTTCATCCTACACACTTTGAATCCAGACCTGCTCATTTAGGAAGAATTGTTTCACAGGACAGTAGCTTCCTTTAACCTTATCAATATCTGCCAAAACAACTGCTTTGCATTAAAAACCTCAAGTTTGACTGCCTGGACAAAGGATACCTTTTCCTCAATCTCTTTTGTTGGAAATGTTCTTCTAAGTGTTTACAGCTCTACTCGTGACGTTTGTGAAGTTCATGTGGTTCACCATGGCAGTTCACTTGGCGGGACCAGGACACGTTGCTGCTGAAATGGAGCCAAGTCACATCCTGAATAATGCAGTTGGGCACAAATTAAATTTTATGTGAAAGTCCCTAGGCTATCTCTGCTTACTTCATGCACCATTCGGAGAAAGAATTGGTTCTGAGATGCCTATATCTTAAGTTCCCAGAGGACCACCCTGAAATCATTTAGCCTAATCTGACTGCTTGAATGCTGCAGGCAACAGGCACCCTTAATATTTGCATCAAGTTTTGAGCTGCGCCACTTCCTAAAAAGATACTCAACGGTGACTTGTGTTTGAGCGAGCGAGGATGTATTTACCTTGCGTCCCTCCTAGCCTTATTTCGTTCGCCAGTCGGGAGCTGCTGGGGGGCTATGTAACGCCGACAGAGGTACCTCGCTTGATGTTTTCACTGGTGTCAAGGCATCTCCGCTGACCACAGCACCTTGCTGACTCTCCTCCCTCTACCTTGCTGGCCGGGGTGCCCTTTCCGCGCTGTTGCTCTGCTCCCCGAGGGTGACAGTAAGGTTTTGCCTGGAGTCGGGGAGGAGCTGGGCTGTGCCAGCTCTGCTGGAGGTGCGTTTTGCCATGCCAGCCAGGAGGACAAACCCCACGTTAGTGGGGACTGGAGGGGCCAGCTGCTGAACTGACTCGAACATGGCTTTGCGGGCAATGCTCGTTAGTGACGCCCATTTGGATCCACGATTCATGAGCAACGCGCCCTGGGCCTGCTGGATTCCTCTAACTGCCCTCTGAAGATTAGATATGTTTTATGATGTTTTCGCCAATAGTTAAGCCTTGACTGCAGAGCTGGCAGCGTTGCTGCCGAAACCCCCCCGAGAAGAATCAACCCCCCAAAATATGCCTGAATCTAATAATCTCTTCCGCCGGCGAGAACTTAGGATGCTTTTTTTTTAATGTTTTTTTTTAATGGTCTTAGCTTCACCTTGCAGTGGTTCCCGTCTAGAGCCGAACCTTTCTGAAGTTTTTCCCTGCTGTGAGAGTTGAGAAGGGTACTCCAAGCTCTTGCCTGAAACACTTTGAGTTGACAGTAAAGCTAACTCAAGGGGTTAGCAACCCTGGAGAGCACTAAACAGCTGTATTGCTCCCTTCCCAATATGAAATCCCAGTCTTTTCCGTCTTGCTGTGATTTATCTTCCTGGTCTGTATGTCCAGTAGGAATATAATTTTAATTGCAAGGATCTCTCTTTACCAAGGAAGGCTATAACTTCACTCCTTTTCCCTTGCTGTGGGAACGGGATTCTTCGCCTTCCTTAAGAGCCTTTCTCAAATTTTATTCTCCAGCATCCTTTAATTAGCACGCTCCTAGCTGGAGTGGTTTCCTTCCTGATTTGCACTTTTCAAGCCTGTTATCCTACTGTAGAAATTGTGATATGAGTACTCACTGTATATGTATCTTGAATTTATAACAATAAATTCATTTTTAAACTTTTTATGGACTATTCTATTAGTCTCTGTTTAACGGAGGTGATGAACTTGGTATTAGGAAATTTTTAAAAAGCTCTCTGTTTTGAGGGTCTGCCCTTGTGGCTACCCTTTTTTGGTTAGGCTGGGAATTCCTGCGATACTCCCAAATATCTCATTAATGCGTCTATGATACTTACTATGATTCCCCAAGCATGTGATTTAACAAGATTAAACCCGTCCTAGGATAATCTTTGTCAAGCTGCATTTTAGTCTTTTTGAGTAATTTATATGAATATACATTCCAGAATGTTTAAGCTTTAGTAATCTCAGTGCAGCATTTATTGTATTGTTGGCAAGTGGATGAGGGCCATCAGGCAGATTAATAAGGCTTTCCTAAATCTATAGCAGGGCTTAAAGCTGTGGTGTTTCTGACATGCTCTAGGCCCTAGTGTTTCGAGGTTTACTGCCTTTGCCCGTGTTGGGCCAGGCTGCATGAGCACGTCACGACGCAGGTACAAAAAAGTACAGCGACATGCGAATTTAATTCTGGTGCTTGATAACTTGGAACTTTTTTGCTACCTTTAGAATTGCTCTCTTATGTAAATATATGTGTTTGTACGCATTTACTTAAAATATAACATAATGTTTTTAATCACTCTCCTTTCAGGCCCCATACTGCATAATGTATGGACTCTGCGCGACTTGGTTTTGTGAAATCAGGCTGTGCACGTGGTAGAGCTCCCCATATTTAGTCATTAAACTGAATAGCGGGACATTGTACCTTTGTGTATTCAAAGTGAGGGTGTCGATCTGACACAGGACAAAAACCTATATTTCAAAATGAAAAGCCTTCTGTGGAGTTTTGCTTATGAGACGTGGACTGAAGGTACATTGCAAAACCAAAAAAGTCTGTCCCGCAGCTTGACGGCGGGGCCAGGATGCTGAGTGCCTTTACCAGGTGCTGCTTAGAAATATTTGCAGTTAGCCTTGCGCTGAATTCTCCGCTGTATTGGCTGATCTGATTTTTCTTTTTAACTGTCACAAACTGATTCAAGCAGTGCTGTGCAGCTCTCATCAGCTGAGTGTTCAGACACTGAGGCTGTTTTTTCTTCCTCCTTTTTTCCCCTCTTTCAGAAGTTAATAGGCACCAAAAGACACTGTCAGCTGAGTATAAATATTGCATGTTCTTGCTGAGAATATGTTCCTGGGTTGTTAGGTGAGGAAGGGAGGGCTCTGACTTGTACCCGTGGTGTGTCAAAAGTCTCTTGTGTGATTTCACAAAGTATTTTATAGATATGCTTAATACCTGTGATTGCTTATTCTTGCTTGGTGATGGATCAAAAATGTAAATTTTTGCTCCCTTTTAAAGGAGAACTCTTTTCTCGCTTGTGATTATAACATGTGTAAACTTTATGTAAGGTTGTGATGAATAACGAGCGCATATTATCTTAGTTTAAGAAGCCGCCCTTTCTTGGACATGCATCATTTTCTGGAAGGGCTGACATCTTCCCGACTGCTCAAACTAGTAACAGCCCATGTTTAGGGTTGCACTCTACCTTGCGTTTAGTGCAACATGGGGAACTCCAGGTCTTATTGCTTAAAGTCCAAGTGTTTATGCTGCCAGGGCTAGATGCTTTCATGCGGTCGTGACTTGGCCTTCGGTTCATTCACAATACGTGCTGAAACCTATTTGTTGGCTGTGCAAGATCAAACGGAAAGGACACTGTAGAGGTAAAAATTAAAGTGCTGTGCAGCAAAAGATCTACACCTAGGAGGAAGGATATTAATGTTGTTCTGCTGACTGATTTCAATTTCTTTCATATTCTTCCAGCTGAAGGCCTTCCCCAGGTGTATTACTTTGGACCGTGTGGAAAGTACAACGCCATGGTACTAGAACTGCTTGGTCCGAGCTTGGAAGATTTATTTGACCTCTGTGATAGGACGTTCACGTTGAAGACGGTATTAATGATAGCCATCCAGCTGGTGAGTAACAGAGCTGGCAAGGCTCCGCCAGGCAGCTCCATGATGACGACTTGTATTTATGTCCGTCCTGGTTTAGCTGCAGGGTCGGGTTCCTACAGGTGCAAGGTTTGAGGGTGCCTGTTGGTTTGAGAGAGAATCTCCTTCTATCAGATTTGAGAAAAATTCTTGCTTGGGAAGAAAAGGTCAAATTATGCTCAGAGCAAACTTACTCCTTGAGTAGCAGACCCAGCAAAGCCCGGATTCTCACAGATTTGTATCCTGTGTCCCCTACACTCCCTGTCCCGTTACCTACCCCAACTCCCTTGCTGTGCTTGGACACCCCCCAAAACATCTCTCCCTCCTTCCCTGGTTCCCAGGGCACACAAGCCCAGCACCCTCCCACACTCCTCCTGGTTTTGCTGGTTTGGTGCTACCAGGCAGCTTCTCAAGGTGGTGGGAGCTCAGCTCACCTCAGCCACAATACTAGCATGGGGGTCTTCTGAGCCCAGCCCACTGACCTTCACAGGACTTGTGTGAATTTGAGGTCTCTGCCGTGGTCAAATTTGGTTGAAATTGGCCAATGGTTTAGAAAACCAAGAGTTGGAAACTGATAATTCTGTGGGACAGCATTACAGAAGTCTCTTTTTGCCTAAGGAAAGCAAGCTGAAAGCAATAGCTTTGATTTGTGTTTGTGTTCAAGGTGAACTGTATGAAAACAGGAAATATTAAAAATATGGTGAGTGAAGGCCCGCAGTTGGGTAGTGCCAGTCAGCTATTATTTTAGTTTGGCTCACTGCTTTTCAACCTGTGGTCTGCTACAGTAGAGTCTTGAAGGGAAAACCGAGACCGCAAATGCAGAAGTTTGAACGACACTGGCCTGGCATTAGGTTCCTGAAGCTGTGCTGCTACAGCTGAGCAGCCCAGTTTTGTGTGGCTTTGAGTGTTCCTTGCTCGGTGCAAAACCAATTTATGGTATTATTCTTGAGTAAATCAAGTGGCCTCAGACGGCAAAGCTTGGATGTACTTTGTATTTCCTTTTGGTTATAAAGGTGCACTCCAGAAATAGTATTACCATTTGCTGCAGCTTTTCAGTTCGTGCTTAAATAACTCATAGTCTCTCACAAACAGTGGGAATAGAAAACCCATGTAGATATACATTTAGGTGCATGTGTATAACATAGGGCAAAACTGGGTTGTAAGAACTCCAGCTGGTGGATTTGACAGACTTATATCTCCTACAGTTGTGTTAGCTAAATTTCCGAATACCTGTAGGAATTATTTTATTCCAGCAAGACTGTTGGGGAAGTCAAGACTGACATAGCAATGTACATCTGTCTTTCGCTCAGCCCCCGTGGGTTGCAGTTGGGCTCTCATTGGAGGGTCTTCACCAGCATCATCTGCTGGTGAGCTGGCAAACCAGTCAAAGTCACAAGATCCAGACAGCAATACCTATTTGGAAAACAGATGCTTAGCTATTCCTGGCTTGCCAAATAGTGGGGGGGTGTACGGAGGCAGGCAAGGCAATTGCAAATGGAGTTGATATTCTCTATAGGCACCGCTTCTCTTATTTACATGAGGAGATGTTTTAGGACCTTGTCAATCTTTCCAGAAAGAATAAATGAGATGATACCAGCTTGGAGCGTATGCATTTAAAGAGACAGATTTAGCATCTTTAGGTATGCCCCATCTCCGCCCCAGGAAGTTTCCCGGGAAAAGGGCTCAGCTGGCCCTCTGCAGCCTGTTTTCCAAAGGGGTTGGCTCTTACTGCACATCCTCTGCTAAAACCACAAGGCTTTGAGGGAAGCTATCTTGGTTTATTTTATTTCCTGCACTGAATCATTACAGTTACTGTGACACACTCCAGTATAGGAGACACGTAAAAGAAGAAAAGTTGAACTGTCAGATTCAATAGCATTACCTCCGTAAAGTGTGTTTTGCTGTCGTTTTTGACCAGCCAAGCCTGCTTAAGCTGCTGTAATTCTCATCTCAGATGTGAGGAGACATAAAACTTTGCTGCCAGGCTTCAGTGCATTGCACGACCAGTGGTGTTCTCGTCTGATGTTTGACATGCCTATTAATGAAGTCTAATATCTAGGGAGACTCTGGAAAATGTGAAAGGCCCAGGACCCTCAGACAGCAGAGAAAAGGGCCCTCCCCTATGGTAGGAAGTGAGGGGCAATGTAGCACTCCACAGAGCAGCGCTGCTCCGCTTCTGTTCTTGCTGATATTTTTAAGCCATGTAGCTTGTGTTTATGGGAGAATTTAAACATGCAGTTTTTGCTCCCTGGCTGAGGGAGACGGAGCCTTGATGATGATGAATCTTCAAGGAAGAGGGAGAACCCATTTTAGAGTATCTTCAAATTAGATGACACAGTAAGAAAGTCTGTCTCAGTGGGAGGAGGAGGCATACAGGCTTCAGGTTTGTCACTAGACTTGCATGTTTTTCTGGTAGGCATGTGTTGTGTTCAGAGCTGTGGCACTGGGTTATCAAATACAGCTTGGTAGAATCAGACGTGCTCTTTTTCTTAGTCTAATGTGCTGTTTCACACTTCTTGTATACCTCTGGGCAAAACCCTGTGTTGAAGCAGTCCTCTGCTTTTCCTTCCCCGGTGGAAACTGTTCAGCTTCGTTACTCCTGTAACTTGTGCATCTCTGATGCTTTATATTGCTCTGTTAAGAGCATCAGCCTGGAATTGCTTCCTTCATCCTCCGTGTGCGGCTGGAACAGATCATGTGTCTAACATCCCTAAGCTAAGAAAAAGCTTGGAAATCAGAAATGCGTTCACTAATGCCAGCCCCCAAAGCCAATAAATCACTACAAATCTTACAGCTTTGCGGCGCTGACTCAGTGGTTGGGTTGGGGAAAATGCTTTTTATTCCATCTTCCTGCTTTTCACTCTGGGCCAGGTCCAACGTGTCTGATGCTGTGCTGACAGCTCAAGTTTATCATGAACACCGTCATTTCCACCCCTGCTGCAAGTGCTTGTTGTCAAAACCAATTGAGTCCGAGGCCCGTTGTGTCAGGCACTGTGCAAATACTTGGTCTCTGGCTGCAATCTAGACCAAGTCACGGTGAAAAGTTTGACCTGGGAGTCAGACCTGTGACCATCTTGTGCAAGAGCCACCCAAGCAACCTTTACATTGGAAGAATTTTTAATCCCTGCTCATCTGATCTGCATTCAGGCAGGTACTTGTGGGAGAAGGATTCAGATTTATCAAGGGGTGCCCGGAGACAGGATTGCCAACAAGACTAGATCCTTAAGAGTTACCTTTTTGGAGAAAGAGGGCTTATTACAGTTGTTTCCTTGACAGGAGAGGATCGGGAAAGAAGCACGGGTTTCTTTAGCGTCTAATTGAATGTCATAAATATCCTATGATTTCTCAGCCAGCTCTAGCCTCTGCTTTGCCTTTCCTCCATGCACTAGACCCTTCCTCTCCCAATCTGGCCCTGTTTTCCTTAGGAGGGAAGGCTGAAAAGGATGAGCAAGTGTTCCTACTGTGTGCCAGGACGTGCTCTCCCTATTTCCTCCCTGGGCGTTCTCCTGACATCTGAAGTTTAGATCTGTGGCTCTGAAGTTGAACCCCGGAGTAACTCAGGCAGCCATGGTCATGGAAATCATGCTTTAATTATCAAGTAGAATCTCCCATGCACTGTTAGTGCTCTTATGCCCTAGGATAAAATGCCTTAGTCTGTTCTTACTATTGTTAAAATAACAGAGCAGGTGTTGACACCGCTTCACAGTCACTGTTTTCCAGTGTAGAAATGGTTCCAACAGTTAGCCCAAGTTCCTCGTAGTGTCTGCAGAAGAATTAACGTGCAGCCCGCAGTCTAAGCACCCGTCTCTTGGCCTTTGCATCCAGCACGTCTCTGGAGTGGGAGCTCAGAACTCTCTCAGAACCTTCTGCACTGACCTCTCCTCCTTGAGCTGCGTGACGGGTACGAGTCAGGCTGAGGGTTGTGCCACATTGCTTTCCTGGAGCCGGTTGCTTCTTTTCAGGCAGCAAGGCTGGAAGGGAGATGCAGCACACGTACCCACCAGGCCCCCTTCGCTGGCAGAGCTGGGAGACGTAAGCAAGGCAAGCGTCCTGTCAGGCTGAGTAAAGCAGGGAGGCTACTTCAAGGAAACATCTCTTGACTTGGAGAGCCGGTGTCGGCCATTGCTGGCTGCGAGCAGTTTTCAGGCAGCAGATCAGGTAGTACCCAGCCCTGTGGAAGTAAAGAGGAAGGAACATGAAAGAACCAGCAGCTATGTGAGGTGGGAGCAAACAACGCAGGTAAATATCTCCAAATACCGCTGGAGTGTGGTGTTTCATCTGGCGTCTTAGCTGTCCAGACTCTGTGTTGTTTTGGCCAATGCCACTTGCCATGAGTTTTTAAGGAAAAAAAACTATGCTTTTTGCGCAGATATGTAATTGCCAACAGCAATTACACACCTGTGTAATTGTCAAATAAGCCGATCAGGCTTTATTTGAAAGCTTGTTATGTTTGGAGAGGCTAGGAAATCCTTTGTTCCAATTTTAAGGATTGCATCCTAACTTGAATTGCCTCCTAACGTACCTTTCTGTCTTCCAGTCTGCTGATGTGTCATGTAGGTGATTCAACGCGTGAGAAACAGCCAAAGCGCATAGCATCTGTTCTGTTCTGCTTCACCCTATAGTTGATGAGAAATAATGGCTGTTAGCCGTGAAACCCATTTTCTCAATGCATTGAAGTAAATCGCTACTTAAAATGAGAGGGGAGGGGAATTGCAACACGTGCTGTTAGCTTCTTTGAAGAGTCTTTGAACAGTCTTATTTGCCGGCACCAAGGCACCTGCAGTCCATTTTTTCCTAGCTCCTGCCCTCCTGGCTGAGCACTTCTTGTTTTTAAGGAGCGCTACCCCCTGCTGCCCTTTACTCCTTTCCAAGTGGTAGAAATGCAGCGGGGATGAATAGTATGTAGAAGCCTGATCACTAGCCTTATTTTTCCTTCTTGATGTTTGTCTAGGGCAAATCTGAGGTTTTTCTTAAAAATAAGATGTCTGCTAAACCTCTGGGAGCAGGATGGAGTAATCACAAATACCATTGCCAGGATGAGGCTCTGATTTCACTGTCTCCAGAATTAAAGAGCCCCGTTTGTTTTGTCTGGGCAAACATACTTAGGTACCTGAAATGGCGCTCTGGCTGCTAGACCTGAGCACGCAGAGCTTTTAACCAGGCATAGCTCCAAGAGCTGTAAAGAGAGACCTGGATTTGACAGCTGAGTATGCGTCTGGATTCAGAGTGAGAAACCAAACAGCAGTCGGGGTCTTTCAGCTGAACAAAGCTCACGGTTGAAGTAAGCCGTCCAGGTTGAAGGACTGATGATAGATCATCGTTGTCTCGGCAGCTACTCTGCTTGGGGATCAGATAGCGTAATATGGTGTCACCCGATCCAGAACCACGTACGCTCCCCCCCGGCCAGCTGCAGGGGTTGCGGAGCCGTACGGCCAGTACTGGCTGCACAGAACTGCTCGGGAACAAGCGGTTCCCCCGCGAGGAGCTCCCTGGGGAGATGACCAGCCTGTGGCTGATAACCTCAGACCCTGAGGTCCATTTGCAATTTTGTAGGCAGGAACTTGAGGTTTTGGATGTTTCTGAGCACCCACATTTGGAATAGAGACACCACATATGAAATATCAGAGACTGGAGCTATGTTCCCACCACTGCAGGAAGTGATGAGACCTCATCACTTCCAAGGGAGCCCAGTAACACCTGGCTGCTACGGCAAGAACGTGAAACCCTCATTTGTGTTGGGGGGCAACTTGCTGACTTGCTGTTTTTCAGATCAATAGAAGTTTCTTGGACTCCATGCATTATCCGCTAGGATAAATAGTGTGTTGTTAGACAGTCTCTTTCTTGTTCCCTTCCAACATGCTCTTCATCAGAAAACCTCTACTCCATCATCCTCTACAACGGTGCAACAGTAACCTGTGTGGACAGAAACTCCTCAGTATAAAATCTGGAGTCTTTGAGGGCTTTCCTATGGTTTTTGTAATGTTGAAAGCCTGAATGCAGATGAGTAGATTTAATAGCCTTTCTAAGGAAGCTTCTTGCCAAAAAAAGATTCCCTACAGCTTGTAGGGCAGCCATGGACCTAGACAGCCATAAATGGGAATTGGCGTGTTTTAAATTAAAACATAAAAAGGAAATAGAAAGGCAATAAAGTAAATGAAATTGTTAATTACTTTCAGTTGGAATCATCTAATAAGGTAATAACACAAATGAGAACTTCTCGCAGACTTAGATTCTCATTTCACTGGCAGCGTGTTTGTTTTCAGAAATAATATGAACGTTGAGCATCTGAATAAGGTGCGTTGTTAGAGAGGAAATGGCTGTTCATCACCTCAGAGGTGGGGTTCCTGCCCTTTTCCTTCCCTTTCAACTTGGTCAAAGTCTGAAAAATATTCCTTCTGTTTCTCATTGACAACTGATGAAGTTAATTATTATTTTTCTTCAGTATTGAGGACCGTAAGGCTTCCGCCTGCCCAAAATCCCCCTCCATGAAGAATCTGGCATGTCTCAGACAACATATGGGTTGAGGGAGGAAGGTGGTAAGACATAGAGCAACAAGGGAAGGCTGTGGGCAAGGGAAGAGCTCTTGGTAACCGGTTTAGTATGTTTAAAATCAATACAAAAAGGCTGCTGCAATCCCCCGTGGAATCCTTCCAAGAACTGTGTTCTGTCGGTAACATTTCAAAAACAGCCTTTCCATATTTCGTTCAGATTAAGTGAGGGAGCACGGTATGGTAGCTGGAGAAAGGGGGGATGACAAATGTCTTTTCCCACTCTGTATCGGGGCATGTGACCCAGCTCAGATTGCAACTTCTGCCTCAGTTTGCTACATCTGTTATTGCATTTCTAATAGAATAACTTAAGAGTTATTAGCCAGCATCGAGCAGTCTCAGGAGACTCGGTGCCTTGCTGCGTCGTTAGCCAAGAGAGAGCAATAGGTGGTCTGTTTGTGAATAACTTTTCCCTCGTAATTTTGCAGATATCTCGAATGGAATATGTGCATTCAAAGAACCTCATCTACCGAGATGTCAAGCCAGAAAACTTCCTTATTGGCCGGCAAGGCAATAAGAAGGAGCACGTCATTCACATCATAGACTTTGGATTGGCGAAGGAGTACATTGATCCTGAAACCAAAAAACACATACCTTACAGGGAACACAAGAGCTTAACTGGAACAGCAAGATACATGTCCATCAACACTCATCTCGGCAAAGGTCTGTTCAGTTGATGCAAGCTTGCTGTGATTTGTACTGTCGAGCTCTGACTGCAGCTTGGTTTATAGCTGTCTGGTGCCCTTCAAGCCACTTGTAAAGTGTTCAATGTGGTGATGCCACCCGCTGTTGGGAGGCTTTTTTTTTTTGGAGGAGGAGGAGTTGAGACAGCTGAACTGTTGGAACTGAAAGCCTCATAAGTATAGTTTTTATTAGGAACTGAGCAACTAGTAGCAACCCTGTACTGATAAAAGGCAAGTAGGCAAGCAGTAATTGCTACACTGAATGGTGACCGAATAGATTTTTATAGCACGGCTCTATGCACTGGCACCTTCCAGTTTCAGGTGTTACAGTTGAACGTTCCCTGACCTGATAATTGGTAGGAGAAAATGAAAAATGGTTTTCTTTAATGGTTTAACTAATTTTAAAACCCTGTCCTCCATCTCCTCTCTCCTCTGCCTTGCATCCCTCTTTCATGCTAGAAAATTACATTTATGCGGCTAAAAGGCAAAAAAAACTTATTAAATGTTTATATTCAATTACAGTCATAAGAGTAGTAAGATAAAGGAATATTCTTTATGTAGCCTTCCAGCTATAAGACCAAGGGTGCTGCTGGCTTTCAGGTGTCTTAGAAGGCTCTCTCTTTGGGGAGTAAGACGGGATGGACGCAGTTTATATTTTTGGAAAACCTTATGAAGAGTCAGGAAAGGGATGGGGAGAATGAAAAGCTGCAACGGGAACAGGTCTTTAAAAAGGCTTGGAAAGTGCTAGTGATGTGCTCTGCAGGGTGGGAATATCTAACGGGCACTGCACTGCCACCACCTACTGGTGAGGAACCTTTATGTTCCCCACTGAAGAACCACACACGTGACTATGTTGGCGTGTTTCCTTCAACTAGGATGACGGTCCTCACTTCAGCAGGTGGGAAGATGAAGATTATCACCTTTTTCGAACTATGCCACGTGCGTTCTTTAGGGCCCCTTTCCCTGCAGACTTTGTAGCTCTCGCGACTTGCTTAGGAGAAGAGTTTGTTTTGAGCAGGTGCTGCGTCTAACATGGAGACGCGTGGTCCCTGGTGTAGCGAGGACACAGGACCAAGGTGCGTTTGAGAAAGGAAGGTTAGGTTCTGCCCTGAGGTCTTTCATGGTGCTGGTGCTTTGCTGGTGAGGCCAGTCCCAGTGTAGTTGGCTCCTTCGCTATAAAAAGGCAGGTGTCCAGCAAAGACTGTTGTTCCTGAATCTCTATCGCTGGCTTTCTACTAGCAGCCTAATCTGCCCTCCTCCTTTCAGGACTGAACAAAGTAAAGGAGTATGATTATAATTTTTCTGAAGGACGAGTGCTCTCAACTCTCTTCCTGAGAAGTTTATCTACATTATTGCACTAATTTATCAAGTTCATCCTCCTTTTTACAGCTGTATCACTGCAACATGCAGGAACTGTCATCTTGATTCCCTTCTGTTGAGTGTTCTCTACCTCTAAACTGTTTTGAGAGTTACATTTGTTGCTAATTTTGAAGGAGAGTCATGCTGTGCAAAAACACTGCCTTTTTCTCCTCTTGCAAATTATGCAGCATCAGGGACAGCTCTTGCCCAGTTTGTTTTGGCATGTGGGCTGCGTGACTAGATTTGCTCCGTGGTGCGGGTTCTAAAGACATTATCTGCCTGCAGGTGGAGATTTGGACGGGAGAAATAGTGCCAAATCGGTCTCCAAACTCAATTAACCCAAGTCTTCCTGGGAAAAGGGTTGGAGCTGCAGCGTTCTAATATTCTCTGTAAAATTTCTCTGAAATGTGGGAGGAAGCCAGAGAGAGTACAATACTGATTCTGGGGTCCCTGTGCTGTTAAGGAACTGTTAAGACTGCTTGTGTAATAGTCATTCAGCAAGCAGTGTTTTCATGTCGCTGCCAGAGCAGCCTGCTTTGAGTGAAAAGAGAAATGCATGATGCACCCTGGCACAGCAGCAATCCCGTGTTGTGCCCCAGCTTCTTTGTCCTTTCTTGTATCGTCCCTCAGGTTTTTTGATAGTGTGGGCTAGGTTTTGGTAGATTATTTTAAGGATACTTTTTATTTTGGCTTGAGACTAAGCCCCCTTTTTTTCCCCTCATTTATAATCATAACATCTGCATGGCAACAGCAGCAAGTGTTTTACAAGGAAAAGCAGGGCTAAAAGAATCTATTTTTAATCTGTTCCGATGTGATGAGCTACAGAAGCAACTGGAAAAAGGTTGGCATGATGCAACGTGGTAGTTCCCTGCAGCTGGCTGCAAGTGTGGCTCCTGCCTGTTCCTGTGTATTTCAGAGGAAATAATATAATCCAGCACAACATCACCATTGTACTATTGGTACTGGCAGTCCTGAGAACGACTGGGGAACTGCTCTATTCCTATGGAAGTATTTACTACATCCATCTCTTATAACATCTACCTAATGCTGGGCAGTATGTCTTGAATCTACTTACAGTTCCTATGTTGCCACATTTCTTCTAGCTGATCTTTGGTTTATGTATTTTATGTTTGTAGCAGCCAGTTTTAGGTATTTTTGTGCAAGGTCTGAGCTACAGACAGCAAAAGAACTTTATCTTGGAAATAAGTCTGGCTACTGATCAGAACCATTTCCGCTGCAGCAGGAGTAATTTGTGACCTCTTATGTTTTAGAGCAAAGTCGTCGAGACGATTTGGAGGCCCTTGGCCATATGTTTATGTATTTCCTCCGAGGCAGTCTGCCCTGGCAGGGATTGAAGGTAGGTATGAGTTTTAGATTTTGCCCTTTGAAGCTTTTCATTCTTGGTCACTGCCCAAACATGAATCCGGTGAGGGAAAGTTTACAAAATCCAAACAGAAAGTGTTCTCTCCTTTGTGTCCTTAAGTCTAACAGCAAGAGTTAGCTTTGCCTACAGAAAAGATTTTAGGTAGAAGTATGGTACCTGTCACTTCAAGTTATTTAGCTTAGCAAAGTTACCTAGCTTAGCTGAATCGGTGTAACGTTCCAGGATACAGCAGAGGCAGATGGACGACTGGGGCAGGGACCGCAACGTGAGTGCCGTTGAGCTGTCAGAGCAGCTTAGCCGCGTCGTGAACCTGCCCTGAGTTGGGGCAGGTAATGGTTGTTTATGAAATTCCAGTTATGGCACACAATTCCCCAGCTGCGTCTGTGAGCATGTTTATAATGGGAGCAGTTTGATGGCTTTAGATGTGCAGATGGACTTTAGCTTGAAAAAAATGTTTTTCTGGCGAAAGTATTAAGCTTGGCTTCCCTCCAGACACACTGGACACTCGGTGCTTAATTCTGGGTTATAAGTTTATGAAATGTCATGCACAATGGGGAGGACTGCAAGCAATTGAGTTACAGCAACTAAAGCTAACATCCGTCTGCTGAATTAACTAGTGGTAAGTCATGTGCTGGCTCTGAGCCTGCTGGAAGTTGCGTCTTTGCTTCTCCATCACTTTCCTGATGATAAAGCTATTGTGTTCACCTTTGGAATTGCAGCGAGTGAAGAGATCAAATATAATCAGGTTAGGAGGAGGTTTCTGAATGAAGACAGTAACTCCTGTTAGACCTGTTAGGACTCTTGGAAAAAGTAGACAAGCTTTGGGGCTGGCAGGCTCTTCAGCAGAGTACTGCTATGGTCAGTGACAGTGGTTTGCGTGACGTAACTTGTTCATCTACTTTGTCACAGCTATCCAGAGCTAGCCCCACTTAAGCCTTGTCAGATATATGCCAAAAATGTTGGTGACAACCCATAAAAGCACAGAAGAGCTTTTTTCAAGTATGAAAGTAATTCTGAAAGAAATTAGAATCTCTCCTACTTCGCATCGTTCGCATCGTACAGTGACTGCTTGAGTGAGGGTGGTGTGGTGTTCATTTTCTCTTTGAGGTTTAGTTGAATTCCTCTGTTTTAAATTAATACTGTAAAGTATTCTAAAAAAAAATTCTAGGTTTTAGCGAGCCTCTACAAAATTTCCTCAGGTCAGTGGTGAACTTAATAAGGATTAGTTGGCTGCCCCTTGAAATCCTGCATTTCTTTACCCCCAGAACAAACACAGACTCTTCAGCTTGATCTAGAGCATGGTATCTTCACTCTTCCAGGCTTCTTCTGCTTCCACCCTTGGTCTATACTGTCAGTGCTAAAGTCTTGAGAAAACGTCTTGTAATGCCTATGCTGTTAGCAAGTCTAATCGGAATAATCTGAAACGGAGGCAATAAAAACCTGTTCTTGGGGTACCAACTGGAGCAGAGTCTTCTTCAGGAGTGGTTTAAGTCAGAAATCTGTTACTGGAAATTGCTGATTTTTCTTGATATGACCAGCTGTATTTTCAGTGTTGTCTAGGTGACAGATACTTTGGGATTGAAAGGAGAGGTTCATTTTACCATTGCATAGGATTTGGGAGAAGCGTGACTCCGATGTAGACTAGTTACTTGACTGTGTGGTCGCGTTCTTTTAGGTGCAGTAGAGCAAAAACTGGACATGCCCAAATGGCAGCTACAGTTTATCTAATTTTACCCTTGCTTACAAAGGCACGGTGGTTGGCTGATGACTCTAATCCTAGGACTGGTCTGTACTGAAGCATCAGAATACACATGTGCAATCGTGATATGTGCAGCTTTATTTTCTTGCCCCATGAAAGTCTTCTGTACACTCTTCGGGACTGTGCTGGTAAGATATTAGCCTGGTGAAACACTAACACATATATATACTTCCTTTCAAGTATTGAAGATGTTTTGAGTGCACCACTGGATATTCTTTGCTGATAGCATATAAAATGTATAGCAAGAATTACAACAGGGTAATACAGTGTTCCTAGTGCTATAAGATGCAGTATAGTTACAAGTAACGTCATTTGATGCCACCCAGCATCAGTATTGGATACCTTTTTTTTTCTTCCCATACATCCTGTCATTTTTCTCATGGTTGAACTCTTTCTCCACAATTGTGTTTTGTCTTTGTTCCTTACAGGCTGACACCTTAAAAGAGAGGTATCAGAAGATCGGGGACACAAAGAGAAACACTCCTGTTGAAGTTCTCTGTGAGAACTTTCCAGGTAAGTCCTGATGAGATCATTGCAGTCCAGTGTAACCGCTGGAGATTGGATATACCCTGTTAAATATGACTGTTCTGAGCTCGTCTGGCAGAACATATTTGGATGATACATATATCTGTTACGTTGTTCCTGTAGCTAGCAAACACCCGGAGCTGCCGCTGTATGTTAGTGAGGCCTGAGAGCCTGTGACCATAGCTTATGATAAGTGTAACTCTTCTCACTGAGGAGGGTGAACAGTGCCCAGGTGCCTCATGTTCCCACTTTTCTTCATGGCTTCCTTATTGTTTTTGCCGCTCTCAAGTGACTGTGCTGGATCTATTGAGTTCATTCTTTTCCAATTGGAAGGTTTCACAGATGTTAAAATTTCAGGTGGCCAACTTAGAAGAAGTGATGATGTGTCTGTTGCTGAATTCCACCTTCTGAGAACAATTTTAAGGCACACGTTATTGAAGATGTGCTTATAGCTGAGCCTAACACCTTTTCTGCAGTTAAACAAAAGTCCACCTTGGAGCTAGGAGAGCAGAGCATGAGGTTGAAGCCCTCCTCAGGTACCATGTGGCCTTCACAGAGAGGGTTTTGGTGTTCTGTCTAGGAAGTGGGCATCCTGACGTCAAGGAGAGCGCTCAGGTTCCCATAATCACAGAAGTAAGTCACAGACAAGCAAGGTTGGAGCAACAGCAGGTTTATTGTCCCAGAACAGCCCCACCCCAGTAGGAGCTATTCTATCTTTTGGCTCTTCCCCAGCATGAGGAGCAGCAGGCCTGGAAGTGGGTATTGTTTGCTCAAGGTGCACTAATTCCCCAGATGTATTTGCATCCAAAATCTACCTAGTTTGAAGCAGACCCGAACGGCTCTTCTGTTGCTGAATGGCTTTTCTCATCTTTTGCTCTCTTTCATGTTTCTTCCTTTCCCTGCTGTTCTGTCCTCAGAGCTCTGTCGCCTGTGCAGGCCTGGGCTGAAGGGAGATGAAGAAGTTGTTTCTTTTCCTTGCTGGTCTGAAACCTGTTGGTGCTCCACCTTTCAGAGATAACAGCGGGAAGAGGGAATTACCTTTCATCTTTTCCTTTTTTTCTCTCTTTTTTTTTTTCCCCTTCCTCCGTGTGACATGCAAACTGTGAGCCATTGGAAGTCCAGAATCACTAAGCAAGGCTGTCCTTTTTTTTGTCGGTTAAAGGCAAAAACCATGCTGATGTATTATTATTACTGCACTACACAGACTCGCACCTCCTGCTGAGCTCAAACATAAGTCCTGCATAGATGTGAACAACGAACACTGTTACATGTGCAGCAGGCACATTCATGTTTGAGGCTCACCTTCAAAGCCTTGTTGTGAATATATAACTGAAGTAGCGCCATTGGGCAGGCTCACAGATCGTTCTGAATTTGGGTTTTGTTGCATTGCTTTTAGCTCAGCTTTCAGACAGAGCTTTAGCGTGCGTAATATAAGCAAACAACGCATTTGCTTCCTGGCAGGAGGTGTTCTCATGCAGTGCTCTGTGCAGCCAGAGCCACAGGACCTCTGAGGTGCCACAGCCATGCACACCAAAAACCTCTCCTGCTCTCCTTCTCCATCTGGCTATAGAGTTGTAGGGTTGTGTTTGTCCACAGATTAAGTCACTGTGGCTATTTGAAGTGTCTGTGTGAGCAGACACATGCATTAGCATCCTGTTGGCAGGTTCAGTGAGTTGGCATTTATTGTACAATGTGTTTCAGTGTTTGTGTTTATACAAGTGTGTATAACACAACTGGCCTTGGAATTCGGGTTCGAGGGGGAGCAGCAGCTCTCTGGAGCACACGTGGAACTTGCCACTTTGTTTGAGAAGTTTGAATGGGTCAGTGTTGTGGGCCGTTATTAAAACTAGTGCATTTTAAAGAAAAGCACTTTTAAAGGCAGCACTAGCAGCCCAGACAGTTCTCTGTGCGATGCTCGATGATACAGCACAGGCCTTGTTTTATAGCAACTCAGAAGATTCAGAGTGAAAGCAGACTATTCTTAGACTTTGGGTAGGGCAGACAGGCTCTAGAGAGCTCAGCAAGATTCATGTAGCAATAAAAGACTGTCAGGTAGGTCACTTAGAAGGGTAAAGGCTTGTAGGATATGCTCAGCTTACATAAATCTGCATGGCTCAGCTGAAGTTAGTGGAGCCTGGGCAATTCACATCACTAGGGGACCTGGCCCCAGGTCCAACTTTGAGCGCTAGAGAGCCAGTCTTGCCTATTCCTGTGGGAAGGCCCATTTGGAGTTATTTGAAAAGCTAAACGTTTCCAATTTGAAGCTAAATTTTTCCAGCATGTGTCACTTGTGCCTTACACTGAACTGATGCTGCTGCTTTTTTTTTTTTTCTCCCCTTTTCCAACAGAGGAGATGGCCACGTACCTCCGTTATGTTCGGCGATTAGACTTCTTTGAGAGACCAGACTACGATTACTTGCGAACCATCTTCACAGAGCTGTTTGAAAAGAAAGGCTACACCTTTGACTATGCCTATGACTGGGTTGGCAGGCCAATTGTGAGTTGTTCTTGCAAAAACGCAGTGCCTTGCCTTCCAAGTCCTGCTTCCCAGCCACGTGGCTCTTTGTTTGCTCCTAGTAATCCCATTTAATGCCAGTGAGCTCAAGGTCAAATCGTTCACTTCTGTTATCTGGCTAACGTGGGCTCTTCATTAGTGAGATGTCCCGCTGTTGTGTTCAAGGGGTTCTTGCGGTGCCTTGATGTTTCCATGAGTGGCAGAAGGCCCCTTCCCTCCTCTTTGAGCTTGCTCTGGTGGGGCATTCAGACCTTATTTTACCACCTGTGACAGTGAACGTGATGAGATTTAACTTTCTCTCATCTAGCACAGGATTTGAGACCTTTATAATCAATATTTAAAGACATCATTTTACAACAGGAGAGCATACTCGCCACCTCCCGCACTGAATGGTGGAAGATCACTATAACGGTTGAGTTCTCACACAGAAGTACAGGAGATCTTAGCGAGGCTCTGAAGGATGCTCAGCAAACCCATTCTGAGCACCAATGATCCTGGTGCTTACCCTTCTCCAGAGGCTATAACTAAAGTGTGTGGCAAGGAAATCTGGGAGTATCCAAGCTCCATTTAGCAGTTTTGTGACACTAGATGGAACATGTGATTTTGATGCGTTGCTTCTGTTATCAAAAGCCATTTATATTCTAGAAAACCTCTGCCAAGAGAGCTGTTGTGGAGAAATCTGACAGAGATCTGCTGCTGGCTGCCTGTGTGATTTGTGTCCGTGGTGCCCAGCCCATTGCTTGTGTTTTGTGTCGTTCTGATGATAGCCTTCTTGCTAATAGCCCATCACTACGCACCAGCAATGGAAGAGGGATCAGTAAATAATTGTCACTGGTGCCAGACCAAATGTCTTTGGTGCTAAACTTGGTACGGTTGCCGGTGATTTAGCATCCGAGCTATATGTAGCATTACCAATGTTTACTTTGCCCGAAACAGTTCGTTTTAATAAGTAATCATTCCCTTTGTAAATCATGATTTTCCTCCTCATTCTTGTTTAATTACAAAGGCAATTGATAAAAAGCCTGTTGTAAGACAAGCTTGCGATCGCTGACAACTGCAGTGGTTGCTATGGAGATTTTGATGTTGTGGGCAGAGATTATGACTTAGGTGAGAATATAGCAGATGAAGCTACAATTTTAACACATCCTGTTTCTATGCAAGTGTAGTTTTTAGAAGTAGGAAGGCAATGAGATGAGGAAAAGAAGCCCATATATTTGCAGTTGTAATCATCTTATTTGAGACACACTGAAGTGTGGTCTGACAGTGATACCAGATACTTAACTGTATTCCTTTAAATTCAGCTTTCTACAAGATCGTAAGTGCTGGTGTCCAGCAAACCATCAAATCACAGGGATTTTATAGCACTTGCTATAATTATCCTAGGTTGCTGTCAGCTGAGCAGTGTTTTGGTTGTGTTCCTGTATTTTCTGCATGAGATGAACTAACCTGACAAGTTATGCTTGTGCGTGCATGTGTTGAGAGAGTGGCATCTCAGACATTGGCTTCAATGTAACAAACACCTTATTTTCCAGCCTACTCCAGTGGGATCCGTTCACGTAGATTCTGGGACATCTGCAGTAACAAGAGACAGCCACATACATAGGGATCGACCATCACAGCAGGCCCACCGCAATCAGGTGTGTTGCTCCCCATTGCTTTGGCACTATCTCGTCGTTTCGCGCCTCTCTGAATTCCTCTCTGTCTGGAGAACCAGAAACCCTGTGCTGAAGGCCATGCCTTAGAGACAGACGGAGCTGATTCTTGCCTTGTTCATGGCAAGCATATTCCCTGTGTAATTTAGGAAGGTTATGACTTGAGGGGAGTTGAAACAACGAATTGCTGAAATACTGTATCTGCCAGTGGAATTCCTCAGGATCGTGAACCAAAGGGAGTAAAGTTGGGAGGGGGTCTCCTGTAGTCAGTAGGTAAACTATTTAATGGAACGATCCAGCCTAGTCACGCTATATGACCTACCTGGCCAACAACCTTTTTTTGGCTGCTTTTACTCATAGCACATGGACTGTGGAGTAGACCAGCAGTTCTGGCTGTGGCAGCCTACTCAGCTGCCACCTTCTATGGCAGCTCACAGCTGTAAAAAGGATGTGCATGTCTTTTGTATGCGCAATACATCCAGTACAGGGTGTCAAGTTCACTTCACAAGTGACTGCTGTGAGCGAATCGCGCAGCGTAAAGTGTTGCCAGTATAGGGTCCTTTGGGAAGGCTGGGCATCATGACCTGGATGAACTGCTGGTTTCTGAATGTCCCCATTTTTTCTTGTCCAGTTGTAATATTTCGGTGGTGTTGAGAGTTTGGATTTTCTGTATTAACAGAACTGATCAGAAGTTCAGTAGATCTCCAACTGCTGGCTCCTAGTTAGAGGTGTTGGTGCTCTTACTTCCCAGTGAGTGGTTCTGGGCTCGCTCTAACTGCTGTGTGCCGTTCCAGCGCCTTGTCTGCTGTCTCTGTTCTCACACGAGCTTGGTTTCATGGATGCAGACTCAAGTGTGAGATGTAATAACCTGTCTGGGCTCAGCTTTCCTTGTTCCATGCAGCTGGGCTCTGAATGGTAGAGCAGCTAATTTAGACTAGAATACATCAAAAGCCGTCAGCTACAATCAGAATGAATATCCCTCATTAGATATGTTGCTTGTAGGAAGCTGGGTTGTTTGACGCTTGTGTGCAGTACTGTGTTTATGCATGCTTATTAGTGTGGACTGGTATGTGAGTACTATTAAAATAATCTGCTTTAATATATTGCCTGATTAACGCATTAACCCCTTTTTGGGTGGCAGTTTCTAGCTGTCTGCTCCTGACAGCAGACCTTCATGCTATGTACTTTCGAGGCATCTTGTTTCTTTTAACTGACAGCGATGCCTGGCTTCATTTTCAGGCACGTTAGTTCACAAGTTACAGTACATAGCAGAAAAAAATGTTATTCAGACAGCTTCAGTCCTTGTTCTTCTAAGCCTCTCAGATAATCTTGATGCTGTATTGCATGGCAGCTTTTGTAATTTTTTTCACCTAAACATTATTTAGGATGCTGAATTATTTAATATTCCCAATGTGCACTCAAAATCAGTTTCTTCTTGCAAAAGCATAAATAATTCTCTTCCAAGGGTTGTTCCTTTTAAATGTTGTACAAGCCATTTCTATGCAGAAAAAAGGTAGAAAAAATAAACTTCTAGGGCAGTGGATGGAGACATGGGTCAAGTGACCACCTTGATCTCCAGAGTTAATTGCTTTATTTCTCTTCCCCAGTATAATAATTGCAGAGTCTCTTTTATAATATTTGGTTTCCCAGTAAGGGCACTGATACAAGAGTGATGTCCTTTTCGTAGCCTTTTTCTCTAGTAAATGGAGATACTTACTATCTAGCAAAGACAGGTGGGCCCTACCCCCTCTCTCTTTAGATGCTAGTCTTGTCCTGTGATTTGGTAACTAGTAGGAAGGTGATGAGAGTTAACAGGAACTCGATGGTCTCAAATTCACAGGTGTCGCTTGCTCAGTGCCATTGTTTGGGTTGCTCTTTGGGCTGCGCAGTTCCAACACGCTTCTAAAAGTTTATGATGTACTCGGGTGAAGAGCCGAAAGACAAAGATGTGATTCTAACGGCTTCTAAAGCCTTTCCTAGAAACTGCTTCCAGGCTCCTGGGCTGGAATGTGCTTCTCCTAGTGGTGGTGCAGCATGGTACTACTTCATCACCTGGGGTGGCCAAGCGCCTGATGGCACAGCGCTCTGTAAGGATCAGTGCTCAAGATCTGTCTTCTACGAGCTTTTAAAGTCTGCATGCAAATTCTCCAGTTGTTCGTAAATTTGTGACTTGAAGCAATTAAAATGTAATCTAAGGGAAATTCTTCTCCAGTTGTTCCCCTGAAGGTAACCAGGCGCAAAAAATGCAAGCAGCATATCAGGCCGATAGGAAGAAAGTGAGAAAGATTAAATAGGACAACACCTGGACCAGACTGCCTCTAGGGAAATATTACCCATGAACTGGATTTGTTGACTGTTTGGAAGGGAGGCTTGCACCATGGATCACTCTGGGAGGGAGTCAAAGGTCGCTTGCAGAGGGAAGGCTATTGAATGCTTTATAAAACGTGAGCAGACTTCTTTTGTATTCTGCTTCCTTTTGCAAATGCTCCTGTTCTAGTTCAGTGACAGTTAGCTGGTCAGACAAGTTTATTCAACGATTTCCAGAGTCCTCCCACGTGTAACCACTCGCTCTCCATGGCTGCAGGGAGTAACCCAGAGCAGTGCTAGGGAGAAGCCGGGCCCGGGCTCCTGTCTTTGATTAGCTAATTCAGCCTTACTGCTGATAACTTGATGTTTATCTGTTTGAGCCTCTTGTTTCCTACTCTCTGGCTAGATTAAAGTTTGTTTGTGCTGGCCAGTTCCATGATTGGTGTCTCTGCTCAGCATCCCTCCTGCCAGGCGTGTGTGCTGTGGGGATGCTGCTTCCCGGCCCTCTCCTTCTTTCAAGTTTGTGCTTCAGCTTGGAAAATTTTGCTTGAATTATTTTATATGGTGCCATATAGGGCATTTACATGGGGGAGACAGCTTTTATATGCTGATGTGTCACGAATGAATGTATCCCATCAGTTGCTTTAGGTTTTGCTACATCCTCTCCTGTTGTCCTAACAGAGACCTGCCAGTTTGTCCTGTACTTCCCGATCTTAGGAAGCTGGTGCATTCCTTCAGCTGACCAGTTATGTTTAGCTGCGCTGAGATACTTATTGGTCTTAGTAAGGTGAATGCTGCATGTGTTATCTCCTCAATGCTGGCTGACCTATAAGAAGCTTAACATGCAAGTGCAAGGTGGATTTTCTGATAAAACAGATCAAATGTGCGTAATTCTTCCCACAGAGAGAGGATGCAGGAGAACAAAGCATGTACAGACGAGCGTCAGGGACAACCTGCACGGTGATGTGAGGCATAGCAGAATCTCTACAGAAACAGCCCGTAGGGCAGGGAGCAGCGTCCCTGCTGGGATTGATCAGGACCTTCTGTTGGGGTCTCTGTGACTAGTAACTTCAAACCGAACACCAGTTCAAAGGAAAGATAAATCTTCTAGTCTTAGAACATCTGAGAGTCCAGCCTCTTGGTTTTAGACCTACAGATAGATATTCCAGATGAATTCTGCCATCAATTCATTGAGTTCAGAACTGCTGTTTTTATGTGGCAAAAGAGGCATCGAGGTGCAATGTGACTCTGTGATCTATAAAAAGCTCTGTCTTGGTTCTCCATGAAGCAGGAAGCATTGCATGTGAAAAACTTCCCTTCTGTTGTGTGGACTGACATATCTGAGACCACACGAGGTTTTTCAGACTGTCCGAAATGCAGAAGTCAGGCCAGCAGCCTCCTGGCTTCAGCTACGTACTTGGATGGGTACCACATACAAAAGGTTAGCCTGGATTGCCCTCCCCTCCCACTGGAAAAAACATGAGTGGAAACCGTGTGATTTGGTTGAGTGAGCCGAGATGCATAGATCTCATTGTCAAATGGCCGAAAGTAAATGCAGCTCTTTGTCAAGGACGAGAGCTGAGCACTGCTCTGTGACTGGTTTTGGTGGTCATGCTCCTGTGCTTCTCTGCTTGGGTATCATTCAACATACTGCAAAAACCTTTGAGGCATTTTGACTGCTCAGGGCTCGTTGCTCTACCAGAGTATTCCCTCTGCTCTTCTGTTCTTAAAGCAGCTTCGCTGAGAAGCAAAATTCTTTCCTAAGAGGGTGTTCAGCAGAAGTGTGTTCCCTTGTATTTGTATAGCTAGTTCTTATCTCAGAAAAAGTACATTAGCTTTGGGCAGAAAGAACATGGATTTTGGCAAAAAGCTAGGAAGTATGACAAGTTGTTAGATGTAGTTTGTTTCCGCTTTCCTAAAACCTGTTTCAGGGTCTCTGCTTCCTAGCTGAATGAATTACTCCATGAAAAGTGCAAAAGGAACATCCCGTATAGATAAATTTAGGATTTTTTTTCTCCGCTATGTAGCATACTTGTTTTGCATTCAATATATTGTTCTAATAATTGCATTGCATAAAGTTTGCATCTATTTTGGATGAAGAAGAAGCTGTTGCAGCAAGTTCATCTACTGTGCTTTTTTTCAGCAAAACAAAACGTGGGGAAAAAAAACAACCCTCACTCCAGTCAAGTAGCTGTGGTAGATGTTTCTTTTTGCACTGTGCAGATGAATCAGTGTGTGGAACTGGCTTTTGGTGAAATAAAATGTGGCTTTGTTTTATGTTGCAAATTTGAGCCAAAAATACATACCTTAGGGAGGTCAAACTTGTGTATCCAATCCTGCTGCCATGTGAAGAGCTCTGACGTGCGACCTGACAGATCTGGTTAAACATGTTTAGTGTGTTTGTTTCTATGCTGAAAAACGTGGAAATGAAGCCGTGTAATGAAACAACTTCATGAACAGATATGAGCTTTCTCTCTATTTGTCAGATAGAGGAAAAGAAATCCACTCCTGCAGTGGATTGCTGCAGACATCACTAACGTGAAGTATGAGGTGCACTTGGTAAAGCAAAATTTTACCCTAGCTAAATGTTGAAATGCCTTGCTCTTTGCAAAAGAACTAACTCACTAACAGACATGCTTTCATTTCTTCACCTGACTCACCTTGTGCCCTCTCTTCTGTTTCTCTCATGCTTCTGAATTTGTGAGCAGGCAGCATCAGATCGCCGAGGAGAGTGGGAGATCCAGCCAAACCGGCAGACGAATACCTCGTACTTGACATCTCACTTGGCTGCAGATCGGCATGGAGGATCAGTACAGGTAGCTTTTCCCCCTGACTTGTACAACTTTGATGTGAGAATGTCTTAAATCCCCAGAAGTCTTCTTGAATTGCAGTGACAACATTAGTGATCAGCAAGGCAATTTCACAGGCCGATTGATCCTGTCCTGTACTTAAGGCTCAAGCCACAGTTTTTGTGGATCCCAAGCTATGACTGGTAACATAGTCTTCAGGAAAGCTTTTCCTCTGAGAGCTATTTTGATCTCAGCTTTGTTTGGTTGTCAAATTGAACACAGAAAATAGTGCATATCAGCCCGTCTGGCCTATAAAGCACTCCCCCCAGGGATGCTCTGAAGTAGTAAGAGGCAACTGAGATGGGGCCTGTTGCATTCAGAACCCAGAAAGGTTAGGAAAATAGTTTTGCTGTTCCAGTTCAGGCTTGACAGGCGAGTTGCTGGTTGAGTTCCTCCTGCCTAGTGGAAATCTAGGGGTGTCAGACTGGAGAAAGGCACAGTGCGTAGCCAGTGCAAGTAGGCTATTCAGCAACTCCCCTCTCAGGCTGGAGGGGAGACATGTTGAAACGTTGCTGCAACCCAGTGCCACAGCATGCGGTGACCCTGTTTCCTTGCTCCCCAGTGCATTTGTATTTCAGTTTTGGATCCAATGAGCCACAGCAGCACAAGCGTAGGGGCTGGTGGTTTGCAAGCTGGATATCACCAGTGAGTGCTAGATGATGGCACCTATAAGGTAAAGCAGAGGACGAGCAGAAGTGACAGACAGCATTAAAAATGCCAGCACAAATAAGTTCTGAAATTCCTGAAGAGACTGCTTTTGTTTATGAAAACATACCTACCTCTGGCTGTCGTTCAGCCTCGCTAAGGGAGATTCTTGCACTACTGCCAGGGTAAGATGGCTGGAAATACCAGAGAGAAGGTGCAAGAGTTATTCAAGTAAAAGAACTGCCTAACGTTGCTGGCAAGGTGAACTTTTTGGTCTGCCAAAGAGTTTGCCTGTGAGAGCTGGCTCTAGGGTCGGACACCATCCTAGTATGACTTTGAAAACTGGCCCTGGTGAAATGGGAACTAATGCCTGGAGTGGGACAAAGCTGAAGTGAGGAGACATGAAGTCTGAATGTCTTGAGAGACTACTGCACGAGTATGAGACCAAATACTTGGAAAAAGCTGAATGCTATCTTGTAAATGCATTCTCATTTGAAGCCACGTGGAGCCCTGCGCTTTCCTTTGAGGTACACAGTACAAGTTGCTGTTTCTCACTGCTCAAAAAGCACACTTTGTGGTGTTGGTCTGAATGCCAGTTGCTGAGTGAAATTGCTCTGTTCAGCAGTTTTAATCTAATTCCAAGCAGAATGTGGCAGAGGAGAGGTATTTTCAGCCCGTGCTGTACTGCTAAAGATTCCCTTTGCTGGCTGGAAACGCTCTGCTCTGTTGTGCCATTTACCTTGGAAGTGCCCCTCTTGCCAGCAGGCTCTGTGTGCGCGCAGGTAGAGAAGCTGCCCCAAGAGCTGAAACTTTCCAGCCTTGAAGTTTCTGGGGGCAGGGCAAGATGCCCATAGGTGAAATGCAGACTAGTTTGAAATTTTGCGTTATTCTTCCTCTTTGGTTGGATTCAATGATTTTTTTGGCTTCACTAGCCACGTTCCTTTCTTTCATTTAAAGGTATTTTTCTGACTGGCTGAGAAGTTGAAAGATAAGGAGGAATTGATAAATGTATAGCTCTGATTTCAGACAAGACCAGACAGTAAAGTAGAGAATTCAGCTCTCCGTAGTTTCAGAATGGGTGTTTTTATTGGTGGTGTTTTACATATGGGGAACAGTTTAATCATGCAAAGCGAGCGTGAGCCATGTCTCCCCACGAACAGCACTGTGCTAGAGTAGCTACAGCAATAAGGCAATCCTAGTCTGGATTTGATCATTAGGGTCACCTATCTGAGCAGTTTACGAGCAGGTGTATGCTCCTATAAGCATCTACATTCTGCTTATCTGCAGCCAGGAACAGCAGACATTCTGCTGTGTGTGGCTGCTCTGACTGCAGTGTGATGGACACTTAAACTGTTTCTCAACAGATGTCCCAGCTAATCCTGAACCTTTGGGAAGTCAGTAGTTTTAAGTGGCTGTTTCCTTTAAGGCAACTGTTGAATTTGCCACATCAGCATAAAGTGGCAGAATGAAAACAAAAGAGAAGGGAAATCTTCAGCTGCTTCTTGTTAAATTTCATTTTTTACAAAAGGCTTTGAAAGTGTGGGAAGATCACTGGGAACAGCGCAATTAACTGCTAGTGTTTAGCAAAGCTGTGTGGGAAGTGTGGGGGTCCTGAGAGCCTGCACAGACCTGCAGTGCAATGGGTTTGGGAGGGGGGTATGAAGAGGACCCAAGGGGTGATCACTAGAGAGGAAAGCTCCGAAGAACATATGAGCTTGTTTCTGACCTATCTTGGCAGACTGGGCATGGGACATGTTCTACCTTCATTTCTGCAGAAATAGCAAACGTTGGTAGAACTTAGGACTTCAAGACAAAACATGTATAGAGGCACTTAATAGTGAGGAGATTTCTTATAGATCTGCTGCTTCTCTGGCTTCCTTCCCTTCATCTCTGGTGGTTAGGAAGGAAATACCTGGTAGCACCTCGACTCCTGAAATGAGCACAGACCATAGGGCTTCCCAGACTCAGTTATCAGAGTTACAACCTCAGCTGCTAACTCTCCTGAAGACTGGACTCCAGGATGTGAGGTACCTCCTTTTACAATGTAGAAAGGCAAAGAGGTGGAGTGTGAGTGGAACCACATATTACAGTCCCAGATTCAGGAGCAACTGCAGGTGTTTGCAGCAATATGCAACCTGTCCTACCTTCCAGGTGGAGTGTGGAAGGGTCGGCTGAACTTTGGTCTGATATGGGTTTGTTTGTTGGTCACTTTTGCAGTCCCACTGGCAACAGTGATTGTGAATTATCCAGTGCTCTCCTGCCTAGTGTACCCCTGGCTCCTGACAGCTGGGGATACCTATACGAAAATGTTCAAGTAAGCCATAATGTAAACTGTGAAGGAAGCAAAAGGAGATTAGAGACCATATAAACACCTTTGGGCAATGAAGTAATTCCAGGAACTGGCTGTGTAAGGAATGAAGTGTAGAGGGTTCTGGAATGGGTGCTTCTGCCGCTGGTGGCAGGCAACAAGGCCAAGTCCCTCACAGGCCATGGCCCACATCCTAGGGATTTCTTGGTGCCTCTATATGCAGATATTCACTTCACCTTCCCAAGAAGTGTCCCTGCTGTCCATCTAGCAGTGCTATACTAGATGCTTCCACCGTCAAAACGTGGGTCCTGGGAGCTGGAGTCTATAGCAGGACTGCTGTAAAGGTGTCAGGAGAAAACAGCCAGCATAATACAGTTTGTGTATGTATAAGGCTGTTAGTTAGTCTTCACACTAATTTTTCCTCTTAACATCCTAGTGGAAGAAAAGCACACTGTAGGGTCGCCTCCCAAAGACGTCGTGAAGGCCTGCGTTGGGTACAGAACAAGTGTGAGCTGGTGAGCACAGAGTCGCCTACCTGCTGTTCTGCTTGGGGCAAAGCAGACTAGTCTCTTGACTAGTCTGCTGGGAACAGGGGCACATGATTTAAAGGCATCCAAGGAATCCCGCAGCTTGCTAGGGGTAGAGAGACAGCAGCAAACAGAAGTTATTCCACAGACTTCCCATTGCTACAGTATCCTTTATCCAGGCAGCTGGAGACGTATCACATGCAACTGTGCTCTCTTGGGGGCTCTGTTAACAGGGCATTCGTTTGTGTTTCAGGTGGTCAGCTCGACCAACGGGGAGCTGAATGTTGATGACCCAACCGGGGCGCACTCCAACGCACCAATAACAGCGCAGGCAGAAGTGGAAGTGGTGGAGGAAGCTAAGTACGTTTGCTTTACAAACAGGCTTTCCACTGGTGTGGTGATTAAACCTCCTCCTTTGAAATGAGTGGGGATATCTACCCATGGTGCAGTACTTGATGCTTGTATCCCATGACCTTTTCCTGCATATTGCTGCTTTTGTGCATGGTGCCTTCAGTGCTGCTGCTGCTTTTTACACTTGTCATGGCCAAAGAACATAAGTCTTAATCAGAGCATGTACTGTGAAATAGATGGTAGCACAAATACCAAAATAATATGGATTGATTTCAGGAATCCTGGTGAGCGTCCCCCGTTCCAAAAGGCGAATGCACTGCACTCTCGTGCTGAGAGCGTAGGAGTAGCTTGAGCACAGCTCAGTGAAGGAATTGTTGGCCTGAAAGTTAACACTTTATTTCTGGCTGCAAGAAGTGGAGACCTGGTATCCAGAATGGTTCTGAAGTAATTCTTGCAGGAACATACAGTTTTCTGTGTGAATTCTCTTGGTCCAGCCCAATGGTTGCTGAATGAGGTAGAAACCAGAAATAGCCGTCCTGCTTGTGGGGAACAATACGCTCACTTTGAGCTGACCTCAGTGTAGCAGCACCTATCCTCTGTAGCTGATAGTGAAGAGTGAGAACTGATATACAAAATTGCTGCCTTGACCATTTTGGCCTCCTTTGCACAAGCACTGCATCTGGCACCATCATGTCACCTTTTGCATGATCCTCAGAATGGGACCTTCTTGCTGCCTCTGAACCCTAGTAGGTCGCAGTGTAATACTGCCTTCCCCATATGAGGAGTGAATAGGCCCCGGGGCTGCCTTTGAACTGGTTGGTGCCATGACATTGTCCCACTGTCTGACTATAATTTGACTTGATGGCATTGGTGTTGCTTGTCCCACGTTGCTTGTCTTTTAGCCTTTATGGGCACTTCTGTTAGAAATGGCTGTGGGAGGGTAAAAAGGAAAAGTGGCAGGCATGTTAAAGTGTGTGTTGACAGAAACGGTCCCTACATGTGTACCAGGCTGGAGCCAGTGCTGGTCTCCCGTCTGATTACTGCAGTCCTGAAGGTAAATGTCTTTCACTGTCTATTCCTCTGTCCCTTGGTCTTGCTTACTGGTAGCTGGCCAGGGTGTGATCCTTGCAGTGACTTGTCGCAGCAATGAATATGCTTTCTCCTTCCAGCCAAAAGAGTAAGCTTTGGTTTTGCTACAGGCTTCCCATAAAGTACAGCAAAGATGGAGAGGTCTTGAACTGCAGGTTGCAGAGTGGGCAATATTCCTCTTCAATACAGGCAGTGTGGCCTGGAGAGGCCACAGGTTTGGTATTGCAGGCTCTTTCTTGGTGTGAATGACTGCAGTGGGGCTTACTGGGCACGTGGCTTGGGGTTGCTGCTAGAAAGGATAGGGGCAAATCGTCACCTTTAGCAGTTCTTGATATGGCAACCCAATGAAAGGAAGAGCCAGCTTTTAAGATGGGATCACCTTCATCCTGTTTCTGTAGCACCTAGCTCAGCAAGGCCTGGGTCCAGACCCCAAGCCCGTGTACAGGAAAGTGTCAAGATAGATGAAAAGGAGTATGGTCTGCATTGCCCAAGCCATGTCCTGACATGTGTGGAACTGTTCTGTCTCTTTCCAGGCCCTGTTTGTGTGGTTCAGACTTGGTTTTGAAGGGTCTAGCAGGTTATTATGAAGTTGAGCACAGGCTACTTTGCACCGGGAGGGGCTGTTGTCGTAGTTCCGTAGCGTAGTCTGCTTCATTCCTCTTGCCACATGGGGGACTGCCTTCATCTTTCCTTGCATCTGTGATTGTAAAACCCCTCAGCTAGGTGAGGAGGGCAAAGGATTTCTGCACTTGAGTAACTGCTCTGCAGTAAGGTGGGCCAGAAAGAGCTAGAACTAGCTGGAGTTCGTGGCTCTGTGTTTGAGACGAGATGCAATACTGGAGAGGTCTTGCCCTGGCACTCCTGGCAGGCAGAAGAGATGTGCAAACGCTTCCGCTTTGGTGTGTGCTGGAGATAAGCTAGTGATCCCAGCAGTGGGTTTCCCTGAACAGCAGGTCACACACATAGCTCTGTAATCTGGCCCTTTTGCCTTTGGAGCTGCAGGGGATAGAGCAATACCCTCTTCGGATGGCCTGGAGCCCCTTTCTGTTCCCAGCCCCAGAAAAGTACCCCATGGGGCCTGTGCCCTTGTGGAGGTTGTGGGATGTTTGTCTGAGGCCCCAAGCCCCTGGAAAACACACCAATTCTCAGTGGCAACGTGGCAAGGGCAGAGGTGGTATGAGTGCTGGGGGTGGGAGGGAGGGCAGGCATGGTGTGTGTCTGCCAGTCTGCACTGCATGTTTGCATGGCTGCAGCGACATGCTTTCATCCCACCTCTGTGAACTAATTGCTCTTTCTTCCTTTCTGTGTTTTTTCTCTACACTCTCTGTAGCTGCCTGAAAATGCTCAACTTGTGGTGAGTCCCTCTCTCCAGTCCACATGCAAGGGGGAGCGGACCAGACTAGACTGGGGTTGGCAAAATCAAACCAACCAAACCATAAAAAGGCACAAACTCAAAAAGCCAACCCAGGGCTGTTCTGATTTATGACCATGCTGAGAACCACATGTGATACTGGGGAGGGTGTGGGCTGTGTCTGAGAGGCCACGTTAGGCCACGCAATTAGGCTGATCTTTGAGCTGATGTATGCAAAAGACAGATTTTCTATTTGGCTTACCATCTCCCCCAAACTGTTACGTCCGTGAGCAGATGATGTCTAATGGAGTTGGGCAGAGTCGGAACCAGGCTTGCCAAGCATCTTGCAGGAATTCCTCACGCAGATGGTTAAGAAGGGAAAACCCTGCACCCCAACCTGGCTATTGAGGGGAGGGGGGGGGGCAATCACTTCCTAGAAGAGTTTCCTATGAAGAGGCACAGGCCAGGGTTTATATGATTAGAGCGGATATAAAGAAGTGGCTGTAGACCTTGTTAGCCCAGCTAAAGCCGCTGCTTGGAGTGAGCTGGTGGGAGATAGTCACTTTCCAGATAGACTGAAGACTAGGAGAAAAAAAAAAACCTACGGCTGCCAGCTGAGAGTACAGGTGAACTGGCTTCTCTCTAAGAGCCTGTCCAGCCCTGTCGGCTGCAGAGGGGCAGGGGGATTGGGATTAGCATTATTCCAAGTCCAGCTCAGGTATATGTACAATTTGCCATGCTTTCTAAACCACAGCTGTAGTCCCAGCCTCGTGGAGCCCTGTGGAGGCGTTCCCTCCCTCCATTGCCCCTTCCGCAGCTGGAGAAGCAACTTACCCAACACCGTCAAGTAAACTGAGGGCCGAGCTGAGACTCAAATGAGGAGTTTGTAGGTCCAGGTGGCATTCTGGGGTGCTGATGAATAGGAATTGCTGCAGAGCGAGGTGAAACATAGGAAGCTTGGGTTTGCTGAAAAGCCCCGTGTGTGTTGAGGAATGTCCTTGTTTGATGACAGACTGACCCTTCTCTGCCCTTCTGTCCATATAGGCATTGCCTCCTCCTCTGGCATCTCTGGCTTCTCTGTATGTCGTAGTCTGGGGCTGTTCTCTTGGGCCTTGTCTGCATGCACAGAGACCACGTTCTGTAATTGTCAGCCTGCCTTATTCTTTTATTTTGGTGTTCTGCCTCTGCCTGTCTGAACTGCCAGGACTTCCTTTCCTGAACCCTTCCCCAGACCTCTGAGTAACAGCGTAAATAGACAGTCATAAGGAAAACCAGCCGAAAGTCAGTCAGCTCCCTCCTTACAGTGTCCAAGGAAAGGAGTGCTGCTCAGCCCTGTTCTTCCCTTACCAGATGCACGTGAAATCATAACTCAGGCATTTTCTGTCATCTCTCCCCGTAATGATTCCCTCCTATTTATTAGTACCCAAGTCACGAAGGACGGTGGCTGTGGGAGAGGAATACTGTGATAGGTTAGAACCACAGAGGGTGGCAGATGGCCTGAAGTGCAAGACCAGTCCCAGAGCGGGGGGATGAGAGGGGATCTGTAGTCCCTGGCCTGTAATGCACAGGAACCTGTGTGGTGTGACAGTAAAACTTCTAGACTGTGTGCTGCAAATGTCAAACTAGGGAGCAGTGATGGGGTCATCACAGCTGACGGGTTGCTCTAGGCCCGTGCTCCTGGAAGGACAAGTGGTTTTGTATTTTTCTCAGCTCGCCTCCAAACTGGGCCTGTTCGGCGTGCCTAGAAGGAACTCTCGGCCATATCACGGACATTAAACTTCCTCTGGGTCTGAGTCCTTACAGGACAGAGGTACATGCGATGGGAGGTCACCCTCCTGTTGCCCCGGCTGTTTCAGCTCTGTGTTCTATGGAATTTCAGTCTTCCCAGCAAACGATCTGGGCTGGCATGCTTTATTCCTGTGGCGATCACTTTTGCCCCCCCTAGCCAGGCTTGTGCTTCGGGGGCAAGCACCTTCTGGGGTGCAAGTGAGAAAGAGAAATCTGTTCCTCTAGCTCTAAGAAGACAGGAGTTTAGTGCCGACATTTCAGCGCGTACCCAGCTGAAAATAACTTGGAGGTGTTGTTAGAGTAGTTTTGAACACTTTGGGTCTGGCTATTGGTAAAAGATGCTTGTAGGAAAAAAAAGGGTCTTTGCATAGTCGCATCTGCTCTTGTTGCTTAGCTACACACCCCTTCCACCAGCCTGAAAAAATACTCTTTCAGCATCACCTGGGCTTCTCTGGAGACAGCTGTAATGGCAGAATGAGAAAGATATGTAGCTCGGGAGCAGAACTTGCAAAGAACAAAGATGTTTCCTCTGTGCAGAGGATTCCTGACTGAGGGAGACTGACGATAGAAACGTAGGTATGTCCTAAAGGCCAAGTAATTCTGTAGGAAGCCAACAGGAATAGAAAACGTGGGCAGTTGCTTTCAATATAACCCATAAGTGAAACCACCACTGTTGAAGGTTCAGCTGTGATGCTTTTCTCACCACCTCAGTCTCCACTATCCATTCTTGTGCTTTCCTAATCGCTGAATGCTGTGCATCTTCTCTGCATTGGATGAGGGAAGAGGCAGGAGTGATGCATACTTACACGGAATGATTTATTGAAGGTTATTGTGAAAGGTTCAGTAAAGAAACCTGGTCCCTGGTCCAAGAACTCTTCAAAACATGTCTGACTGACTCTTAAGTGAGCAGTGTTAAAACCGTGTGCCTCCTAGCTGGGAAGAGTAGCCAAGGCTCGCTGTCCTAATGCCCCTTAGGGCTTGCTCCCGGACTTTGGACAGAGGGAGCGGAGTATCTGGATGGCTGTTTTACTGCTTTCCCAGATGGCTCCTGGTGTTCCTGTCCCAGTTAAGCCTCCAGAGGAAGAGCGCCTGGCACTAAGGAACTCCCACAGGGCTGTGCCCTGCGGTTGCCTGCAGCCTTTGGGCAGCAGGAACCATCAGTGTTCAGCTACTTGCCTACTCTGATCTGTCAGTCCAGGCGAGCGTGAGCCAGCCCCAAGCAGCTGCCAACCTTGTAGAGCTCCCTCTGGGATGGCAGGTCTGTTTGGGCCTTAGTGCCAGGCATGTGGAGGTGCTGTTGCATGTTACTCTGAGTGGAGGGAAGCCCACCATGGGCGCTGGGTCAGCAGGGGCCTGCTCAGGGTGCAGTGCGGGCCTGACTTGCCTTGTTCTTTGTGCTCCAGGTGCTGCTGCTTCTTTAAGAGGAAAAGGAAGAAGACGGCTCAGCGTCACAAGTGACCAGTGCCTCCTGGGGCCTTGCAGGAACACCACCTGCACCTGCAGCTCCTGCCATGTCTTACTGGAAGGGGCTTCTCTTTAGGGGGGAGGAGGAGGCATAGGAGGAAGAGAAAAAAGTGACATTTTAAACCAAAAAGAGAAGAAAACGTTCCAAAACAAACCACTCTGGGGTGGATCTGCTGAATGGTCTCCCTCGTTCACTCCAAGCCTGAAGCTCCTTTTGGGACCAGGACTGTGGCTGGCTCAGGTCTTGGTCGCCCTGGGAGGGGGGGCTGGCTGGCTGACCCTCCTTCCTGTTGTTTACGGCGAAGGCATCGTTCATGCAAACCTGAGGACTGTGCTTAGTTCCTGCTCACTTTACTCCCCTCCCTCCCCTGTGCTCTCTGCTCCTCCGTCCTCCTCCCTCCTTAATTCAAAAAAAAGTACCGTAGGCTTGATTGGCTCTCGAGAGGGCAGGAGGATGCAGTCTGGGCAAGAGTTGTGCGGGGGAAAGGCCTGACTGCTGCAGCAGTAAGACACAGGTTCCTTTTTAGGCTCCTTGGGAACAGTTACACTGTAATGTGCAAGCTGTGAGAAATTTGCAATCTACTGTTCCAGTTAGGTTTTCTGGCTACCTTGACACCTCCCTCCTCTGATGGTAACAGAGCAATGTGGATTGTTTTAAAGAAACTGACGTCGTTGCACTTTTTATTATTTTTAGCATTACAGATGCACATTGTATCTGTGGATTTCTGCGTGGACAAGTGATGCCAGCGCAGACAGACATTCAGCTGGGAATATGGTGGGGTGCAAAGAATGCCCTCAAGTGGGGATGTTGACAACATCCACGCAACCCTCATGCCGGTCTGGGGTTCCCAATGCCCGTTCTGGGTCACGTGCTGGGGAAAGCATACTTGAATTTTCAATCACCCTTTCTAGCTGCCAGTGAATGTCCCCACCATGGTTTCCTACACCGTGCCTGACCCAACCAGCCTGGAGACTAGCCTGGTGTTGGCAGGAGAGAGCGGCATCAGCTTTGCTGAGCTGGAGGAGTTTGCACTGGTTAAGGATGTAGATCTGGATTAAGGTAACTGGAAACCAGATGTTTCCCAAACCATAGGCATTTCTTGGTGTGTGGCTAGGCAACTGGGTAGCCTTCTCAAATCCCTCTGGTAGGGTGGTTATGAATACGAACCTTCTGCAAGAAAATGCTAGCAGGAGCAAAGCTTCCCCAGCAGGGGAGAGGATAATTCACTGCCTTAATACTGATTTCATCTCCAGATGGTCAGATAGGTTTGACTGGAATAGCCTTCACATCCTCTCTGTGAGCACAGGCCTGGCGCTCTGCTGGCCTGGGGCACGTGGGATGCTGTCCCACCCTGGAGGGGAAGCCACGGTTCTCACGCACCGCTTTTGAGCCAAACCAATAGCTAGCAAAGGGCTTGGAGCACTTTGCACAAGTGTAACACCTTGCATCCTACTGCAACATTTCCAGACTCTGAGGAGGCTGAGGCTGCTCTGGGGTTATCATGGATATGGCAGAGCTCCAGGTGAATTCAAGCAGCTTTTTTTTTTTTGTGGGGGGGGGGGGGTGGGGGGGAGTCACTGTGAATAGGTTCCTTATGATTTGTCTTTCTACATGTGACATCTGACTAGGCTGGGACTGTTCACTTGAGTGAGGGACTTCATTTGTCAGAAACTTGGGGCTTGCTCACCCCAGTCCCTGAATTCCCTGGAAGGTATGAAGGGAGGAAAGGCAGAGACTAGATCTCATTTTCTATTTTTTAAATGATGATCTACATAGCTCGGAGTTCATTTAGTGGCACTTACTGCAGGTTTGGTTCCCCTTGCTGGGAAGAAGCAGGCTTAGGGGGCAAGTGATTGTCACGAGCAGGGAGCTTATCGGCTTGCTCTTTGTGCTTCCTGGAAGCATGCAAACACACTGATGTGGTGTCAGCATGAAGAAGCCTCGCTTCTGTACCAGGAGCCCTCTAGGGTGTCTCTTAGCCATTCTCTTCTGAATTATCTCAATGCCTTATTATGACAGAGCACAGCTCTGAGGCTTGGCTGCACCTTCCTCTTTCCCCCAGCAGAAAGTTAAGCTGCAGGCTGGCTTGCTCTTCACTTGCTCGCCCACCAGGAGATTTGTACACCCACTGTTCTCATTCTGCAAAATGCTTTCCTTTAGGTGTGACATGGGCTGGGGCAGGAAGGAACTGTTCGTCTCCTGCATGTGAATACTGGGGCACCTTTGTCCTCTCTTGCCCTCCCGCCAAAGGGAGGACAGGGACCACTGCTGTGTTCCACTACTCTCTTTTTGAACTCCTCCACTGCCGGTGACTCCCAGGAAGTCCAGGATCTCTGGCACGGGTGTTCCCCTCTGCTGTAGGAAACCATGGTTTGGCGTCTTGAGGGGGGGAGGAAGGGGGCACAGGCGCTCCCCAGGGAGAGCAGTCATGTTCTGCAGATTGAGCTGGGCCCTGACACACACTTCTGTTGCTGCCCTCCCAAGCCCCACTAAGTGCCTGTCACCAGAACTCGATTCCTTCTGCATCTCCTGCCGTGTTTGGTCATTCCTCGCTGCTTCCAGTCAAGGGGCAGCTTGTAGTTGCAGCGTATGTAAGTGTTTGCAGGGTGAGGGAGGGCGGGGAGAAATGGGGCCATCTCAACAGTTTTTGTTCTTAAATGTTTTTTTAAAGTGAATGTATTTGATTGTTTAGAAACTTTCCTGACCTTGTTTTTAAGTGGGTTGATTTGAAAGCTATTTCACAATGACCCGCTACTGCTTATCTCTGGAGATACAATGTTCTTTTAATCCTATGATGATGTGTTTGTAGGGGAGGACTGTCCCCCCACAGCATGCTGGTAATGCTCACTTGTACCAAGCCCTCTTGCACTATAATCGTACGTTGGACTCTTCAAAAGGGCAAAGATGTTTTGTTGGTTTTTGTTGTTGCTTTTTTTTAAGGCAGGTAAACAGTAAGGCCTGTGCTTGAGGAAACTGCTAACCCCAGGGAGTTTGGAGGTGGCTAGGAGACAGAAGCCAGACTGAGCCAACAACTCTGGGGTAGGAAGTAGGGCATTAAACCTGCCTGGGCAACCTCTCCTGTTCTCACTGGAAGTTAACTTAGTACCTGGGATATGCCTGTGCCCCTTGCCCACAGAAGTGAAGGAGGGCCTTTTGGATCAGCTGTCTACCACGGATGTCAGGGAGCGTTCAGCATCATGCTGGGGTCCCAGATAGAGTTCTCCCATGGTGTGGCCCACCAACGTTGCGATGCAGTCTTCTGAGGTATCAAGTGAGTTTTTTTTTTTTTCAATAAAACATTGCACTGCTGCATTGTTCTCCATGAATAGATGTATTTATTACCCCTTCCTGAAAACGCTTACTATAGAATATTTTCTTTTCCTTTGCTTCTGTTGGGCTCTCTTGGCAACCCTCCCCTCCTGCTGTAAGCTCTGAACCCGCTTTTGAGGGGATGGTGCATGGTATGGGAGCTTTCAAACACTTTGTGCTTTAAAGCCGTGAACAGTTCAGCCCCCCCCCGAGCTTCACTAAGGAACGATGGCACCAAACACTTCTCCCTGTGTCCGCCATCCCCACTTCAAACGTCCTGGGTAACAGAGAATGACTAAGCCATTTTTTTGCTTTGAACATGAGAATGTGAACCAACCAAAAATGTGCTGACCACATGTCAAATGGTCCCCACATCTCTGGAATAGCATCTACAGCTGTTATTCTGTGGCAAGGCATCAAGTGTGTCTTCCCTCAAATGGAAGGGCACTATACGTACATACACCTGTCTCCAGGGCAGGGCACAGCAGAGGGTCTTAAACAGCTGAGAATCCAGCACCACTTCCTGCTGCCCTTAGCCTACAGCAGAGTCCCTGGACAGTATCAGCACATGCAATGCTGATAGCCATGCCTGTGGAGGAGGGTGGCAATGACCTGTACCAGACCGTTGTTGCCTCGAGTGCCTTCTTCCTCTGGGAGTCTATCCATTTATCAGACTATTGTGTAGAAAGGAAAAGCCCTGTGTCACATATGTGAATAGCTGGAAGGAATTGACTACCAGGATTATGAGGTTTTCCAGCATGCAAATAGATGCTGCTTATTTATTCTCAATACAGTCAAAGAAAAGCATTAAAGGAGATGCTACCTATTAGCCAAACAGAGCATCTTTGAAAAGCAGCTTTCACTTTATCTAGACAGGGAGAGCACCTGTAGTGTGCTATCAGTGATGATTCTCACTCTTGGAAACTGCTTTGTGCCAGGATCCGCTTTGTTGGGACACTTTTCTCCTTCTGTTTCACAGCCTTAATGTAATATTTTTAGCGTGAGCTTTAATTTCCTGTTCCCAAAAATTACTCTTGGGACATTTGTGCTCTGAGAAGGAAGAGAAATCTCGACATTTCTTTCCTGGCCCTTGGAAACATTCATCTCTACCAGGCAATTCTTCTGGTAACAAATTAACAAACAGGTAATGTACACCACTGAGTTAGGGCGTGCTTGAGCCTGCAGAGGTGGTACTTGGCTACAGAGAATATACCAGGAAGTGCTAAGCTGAGCATGCCCTCAGTTACTTTTGGAGGAAGGGATGTTTAAAACCCAATAGGAACCAACCTGTGAGGACAATGTCCAGCCACAGCGTGCCTCATGAGGCCTGCTGACATGAGCAAGAAACAATGAAAGAGGATGTGTTTGTGAAGGGCTCTGTGTTTTCACAGCCCACTTGGGGCTTGAATTCTGACAAGAGTACTACCTTCCTCTCTTTGGGAGGAGGACAGCAGGCACCTAATATAGGATTAGAATAAGTGACTTAGAAGCAAGTGTCCTCCTGTGCAGGACTCACGGTTTTCAGGATATCCAGCTGTGCCATACCCTAGGAGTTTTGCTGGACTTGAGTGACTGTAGATTTCTAGTGTGATGTTGAGGAACCAGCTGAACCTACTTGGTTTCTCAAACTTTGTTGAATTGTATGGTAGGTGATTAACACTGACCCAGATCTATTTGAGTAGACAAAAAATGTACTTCCCACATATTCAACTAACTCCAGTATTTGTGAACAATTGTGCTAAGCTGGACACCAGCACCTGAAATAAACGGCGAACACTTCTGTGTACCAAATCTGGTATTTAGAGAAACTTCAGCCTCTCTGATGAAGATCTTTCTCCTTTCTCACTCCTTTCTTTAGCTTTATCATACAGTCTCACCTGCTCTTCAGCATGCCCTAAGTCTTTCCTGGGCAAGAATTGAGGGGCTTTAGCATCTTCACTGAGTATTAATGAGTTAGGAGGGGGAGACAGGGCAAGTCCAAACAACCCACCTCTCTGTCCCCCAGCAGTGGGGACACCCACCTGGTTGTCACTGCTTTAGGGGATTGTTTGCAGCATTTCTTTCCCCTGGACGAATGGCAGGTGAAACCAGTGGCCGCAGAGAGGCAGGGCAAAGCTTTAAAAGGTGATTTGTTTTATCCTTTTGGGGAGTGTCTCAGGAAAACAGTTGATCTTTGCAACAGGGGTTTGCTTCCCTGTCCACACCAGGGCAGGAGTAATGCTAGGGCCCTGCCCTCCTCAGTGCGGCCCCGCAGCTGCGCAGAGGAGGGCCTCGGACACCGGGGGACTGTACCGAACAGCCCTGCACCCCTATCCCCTAGGGGTACTGCCAAGGGCCGAACGCCGGTGGAAACGGTGACGAGCTGTAATTTATTTTGTCTGTTTAATTCTTCCCTTTGTACGTGCAGGAGGGGAGCGGGATGTTTATTGCCAGTTTTTTTTTTTACTGTAAATTACATAAACCTCAGCTGTGGACTCCTTTCTACCCCGTGTGGCTGTGTGTTTCTTGGGGGCGG